CTGCAGTTTCCTCACCTCTCTCAGCCTTCGCAAAATTGAACAGAGTTGGGGGTGGGTGGTTAGGGATTTGGTTTAAGGGAAGACCATTTAAACTTTTTTCTTTTTGAGACCAAGTCTCACTCTGTAGCCCAGACTGGAGTGCAGTGGCGTAATCTCTGCTCACTGCAACCTCCACCTCCCAGGTTAAAGCGATTCTCCTGCCTTAGCCACCCATGTAGCTGGGATTATAGGTACGCACCACCACACCCAGCTAATTTTTATATTTTTAATAGAGACTGGGTTTCACCATGTTGGCCAGGCTGGTCTCGAACTCCTGACCTCAAGTGATCCTTCCACTTTGGCTTCCCAAAGTATTGGGATTACAGGTGTGAACCATGGCACCCGGCCCATTTAAACTTTCTCCATATCAGCATTAAGGCTGCTTAGCTTTTTTATCATTCATGTGTTCACTGGACTAGCACTTCTAATTTCCCTCAAGAATTTTTCCTTTACGCCAGGTGCGGTGGCTCACACCTGTAACCCCAGCACTTTGGGAAGCCGAGGTGGGCAGATCACAAGATCAGGAAATGGAGACCATCCTGGCTAACACAGTGAAACCCCGTCTCTACTGAAAAAAAAAAAAAAAAAATGGGTGTACAACCCAAAAATTAGCCGGGCATGATGGCGAGCTCCTGTAGTCTCAGCTACTCAGGAGGCTGAGGCAGGAGAATGGCATGAACCCGGGAGGTGGAGGTTGCAGTGAGCCAAGATAGTGCCACTGCACTCCAGCCTGGGCGACAGAGCGAGACTCTGTCTTAAAAAAAAAAAAAAAAAAATTCCTTTACACTCACAACTTGGCTATTTGGCACAAGAGGCCTAGCTTTCAGCATGTCATGGCTTTCAACATGCCTTCCTCACCACGCTTGATCATTTCTACCTTATGATTGAAAGTAAGAATCTTAGCGAGGACTTAGTGGGCATTGGTAAGGTTATTAATTGGCCTAATTTCAATGTTGTTGTGTCTCAGGGAATAGGGAGGCCCAAGGAGAGCGAGTCTAGGGGATAGCCAGTCAGTGAGAGCACATACACCTTGTATCAATTAAGCTCACCATAAGTGGGTGCAGTTTGTAGCACTCCAAAACAAAGATCAGTAGTAACATCAAAGATCACTGATCACGGATCACCATAACAGCTATAATAATAATGAGAAAGTTTGCAGTATTGCAAGAATTACCAAAATGTGACAAAGAGACATGACTTGAGTACGTGCTGCTGGAAAAATGGTGCCAACGTACTTGCTGGAAGCAGTGATGCCACAAACATTCAATTTGTAAAAAGTACAATATCTGCAAAAATCAATAAAGCAAAGTACAATAAAATGAGGTCTGCCGGTATCAAAATACCAGAATAGTAGTTTATTAGCATTACCATGGGTGTTGAGGCCACTGGGCATATCTCTGAGGTCCTCTGTGCATGTGTCTGATAAATGTCAGAATGGATAACATTGTGAACTGAAAAAGTGCATTTCAACTTATAGTTCCCTGAAATTGTTTTCTCATTAATTGATTCAACAAATAGTTACTGACTATGCTGCATGCATAGTTCTGGGGGCTTGGGATACATTAGTGAAGGCGATTTCTACCCACAGAGAGCTAATATTCTCGTGGGATTAGGGAGGCAGATAGCAAACATGTGACCACAGAGTATGTTAGCCGGTGAGAGGTGCTCTGTGGGCTGAGGGAGTTGCAGGTTGCCTTATGGTGGACAGGACAGGCCTAACAGGAAATGGCTATTGTGCAAAGATCTGGAGTTGGTGAGAGTTGGCTGTAAGGATGTCCCGCGGGGGGAGCCTGGCAGTCAGAGGGACTGCCCAGGGCAGAGCTTCTGAGGCTGGGCGTCCTTGGCCTGCTCAAAGGACAGAAAGGAGGGCTGGGTGGCTGGAGCAGAGTGAGCTGTGGGGACAAATGTGAGATGAAGTTAGAGAGAAATGAGCGACCAAAGTCATGTGGGGCCTTGCAGGCTGGCGTGAGGACTTTACCTTTACTCTGTGAGAAAGGGAGAGCAGGCTTTCCAGCAGTCACACCTGAGATGATCATTGGGCTGTGTTGCATGTAGGTAGCCAGGCACTTGGGGCCTGGGAGACTGCCTGGAAGGTCGCTGCGATCCTTTAGGTGAGAAATGAGGGTGGCTGAGACCTGGGCGGCAGCCACGACGGAGTAAGAAGTGATCTTTCCTTGTCTTCTGCCCTTTCCTGTCTTTCCCTTGCTTTATTTATTAATCTTTAGGTGTTGAGCAGTACTGTGGTGGCAGGCGTGACGGTACATATGCGAATATCCAGGTGGGCAAAACTAACATTGTCATAACATTTTCATAGAACTTGTATTCTAGTGAGAGGCAGACAGACAATTAAAATGTCAATACAGTGATGCTGTGCTGAGATGTCTGAATGCCTCAGAGTGCCCCGGGGTAAGGGGAGGGGAGGGTCACTGCCGACTTTTGTTGGAGTGATTGGATAGTCTGGGTGAGGAGGGAACATTTAACCTGAGAACCAAAGGATGGAAACACAGTCTAGTAATGTGAAGAATAAAAGTGGTGAGGCTGAAGGGAACATTCAGTCATGGGGTATATGCTGAGGCCCTGACCTGCGTCTGACTGTACAGGCAGGAGAGTTCTGTGTGTCTAGGCACACAACAGCCTCTTAATGGGTCTGCTCACTTGCAGGGCTGCTCTCCTCTGATGAACCCTACACATGGTAGTCAGATGACCTTTTAAAAATGTTTGTTAGATCATGTCTTCCCACTGCACTTAAATCCAAATCAACAGTCTTCCTGCTTCTTCAGCCTCACTTCACGTTCCCCTCCCAGCTCCCTGGGCTCTACCACCACAGCCCCCACTGGGCTCCTGGACACACAGAACTCTCCTTGGACCGTGGTGGTGGCAGAGGGTATAGAGTGATGGGAATCGACATGTCAATGGTAGAAATGCCAGGGCTTGTTGATAGATGGTTATAAGAGTAAGTGAGGAGGCCGGGTGCAGTGGCTTAGCCTGTAATCTCAGCAATTTGGGAGGCCGGGACTGGCAGATTACTGGAGGTCAGGAGTTCAAGACCAGCCTGGCCAACATGGTGAAACCCCGTCTCTACTAAAAATACAAAAATTAGTTGGGTGTGGTGGTGGGTACCTGTAGTCCCTGCTACTCAGGAGACTGAGGCAGGAGAGGCGCTTGAGCCCAAGAGGCGGAGGTTGCAGTGAGCCAAGATTGTGCCATTGCATTCCAGCCTGGGTGACAGAGTGAGACTCCGTCTCAAAAAAAAAAAGAAGACAATAAGAGAGTGATTCAGATATTAACACAGACTTAAGCTTGTATTTCTGGCTTTAGTGTTTTGTTCTGAGATGGGATCTCCTGTCGCCCAGGTTGGACTGCCGTGGTGCAAGCCACAAGGCTCATGCAGCCTTCACTTCTGGCCCCAAGTGATCCTCCCATTTCAGCCTCTGGAGTAGCTAGGACCACAGGCATGCACCACCACATCTGGCTAATTTTATTTGTAGAGACGGGGTCTCACTATGTTGCCCAGGCTGGTCTCAAACTCCTGAACTCAAGTGATCTTCCTGCCTTGGCCTCCCAAAGTGCTGGGAGCCACCACGCTGGCCTGGCTTGAGCCAATGGATGGATGGTGGTTCCTTTTACTGAGATGCAAACGGCCTTTAATAAAAAGGGAACTATTTCCATCAGCAAAGTAAAGGCCTTGGCGGGGGAGAAGTGATTTAGGAAAACTAGGTTGTCACCTGGGAGGTGCAGGAATGTCAGAAGAGAATGAACGTATAAGACTTATAGTTCAGAGAAGCTGGGGGCACAAGCCACTCAAACAGCACCCAAGGATCGCCTGCCAGCAGGGTGCCCTGTTGGTGTCTGTGATCATTAATCCATATAGAATGAAACTGGTAAGTGTAGCGTCCCTCAGCCAAGTTCTCTTCCTTGTTCCCTTTTCTTGTTTCCTGTCTTCCAGTGATCCATAACTTGGAAATGAAATATATACTTTTATTACCTGTTGAATATAATCCTTATATTTCCTTATTTCAAAATGGTAAACTTATCATTGGTATGGTGAATTACATATAATTTATTTATTCATTTTTTTTAAAATTTATTTTTGAGACGGAGTCTCACTCTGTCACCCAGGCTGGAGTGCAATGGCGTGATCTCAGCTCACTGCAACCTCTGCCTTCCAGGTTCAAGTGATTCTCCCATCTCAGCCTCCCAAGTAGTTGGGACTACAGGCGTATGCCACCACACCCAGCTAATTTTTGTATTTTAGTAGAGACGGGGTTTCACTATGTTGGCCAGGCTGGTCTCAAACTCCCGACCTTGGCCTCCCACCTTGGCCTCCCACAGTGCTGGGATTACAGGTGTGAGCCACTGCGCCCAGCCAAATTACATACAATTTAAAACAAAATTTGTTGCATTGAACTGAATGTTGAATTTTTCTTTGTAAAATATCCCTGTGACTAAATTTTCACTGTGGTCTGCAAATTAATTCATTTGCTTAATAGAAAAATAATTTTCAGCATTGGGCATGGTGGTTCACACCTGTAATCACAGCACTTTGGAGGGCTGAGCCCAGGAGTTTGAGATCGGCCTGGGAAACACAGTCAGACCATGTATCTACAAACTTTTTTTTTTTTTTTCAATTAGCCAGGTAGGGTGGCACACACTTATAGTCCCAGCTACTTGGGATGCTGAGACAGGAGGATCACTTGAGCCCAGGAATTCGAGGCTGCAGTGAGCTATGATTGTGCCACTGCACTCCAGCCTGGGCAACACAGTGAGATCCTGTCTCTGACCAAACAAGCAAACAAACAAAAAAAATAAAAAACCTAACAAAATTAATTAGAAATGTGATGAGATATTGGATGTCCATTAGTGATAACGAAAGCCATTGCACCCATTATACTGAATGCTCTTTCAGGAGTTCTGAAAGCAAACAAATGTTAAAGAAATAGAAAAATAACATCTTTAAAATTTTTTATATATGTTGCTTTTATTCAAAAGAATAAAATGCTTGACAAACTCTTTAATCACAAGGTTTGAACCAAACCACCAGTCTTCTACAACAACTCTGTGAGGTAGGTATCTGCATAGCCACAAGGGATCCACACAGTCCTTTCTTCCCTTGTACCTCTCAAACACTGAGAATTGTAGTAGTTGAAACCACTGTTCTAGTGGGCAGTTAGAACAGTTGTTTTCCCCATCTTATTCCCCACAGAGCTGCCCAAGTTATTGTCTGCTCCTGGGGTTGGACCATCTGTTTTATGACAGTTATGATACTGTTGTTTAAAAAAAATCCAAATTGTTACTTTGATTTATATGATCTAACTCTGAATCACAGAAGTATTACTATAATGTTCAAAACACTGATTGACTCTACTTGCTTTAAAAACTCTCAGATCCCTTCTGCATTTATCATCAGAGATCGGTAAAGATGACAATAAGCAGGCCTAAAGTTCTGAGATGTTAGCACATATCCTTTTCACAATTTAGTAAGCTTTAAGATCATTATTTTTTTTACGTTACAAAATTTGGTACAGTACACCTCTTTCAGGAAAGTCTTAGTAGTAACTCCAAATATTATAATTATTGTAACCAGAATTGTGACACTTGGAGCAGAACGCACGCACACAAATAAAATGCTGTCAAAAAATGACATCACCATTCCCCCACACCAAATGTATAACTGGTAGGAAATGCATTTCCAGTCTGGTACATGGCAGTGTGACAAACTCCTACTCATTTGCTTTTCAAGTTGGAGACAGCAAGCTTTTTCTGTGATGTATACTACCCTTTTACCTATTTGATTTGGAAGTGTAGAATTCGGATTCATGCAATCTTCAGGTGTCATCTCCACAGACCTTTCCTCTTAGGAGTGCCTAAGCTGTCTTACTCTGATGGAGACATAATGTAGCATGAAAGACTTCCAAAGAACCAGTTTCTCTCTTGCCGTTCCTCTTAACAACTTCCACGTCTATCTAAACGTTCTATGCAGGAGTCCTACTAAAAGATTTTGGTTTAATGCCACTTTGATCAGTTATTTGTTGTATGACTTCATTCAAAAACACTTTCATCAATAGCATAGGGATTTTATCTATGAAAGGGAAGTTAGTGCCCAGCGTTCCTCACAAAATTGTCCAAAGGATAAAATGAAAAGTATGTGAGTAACTGCTTTAATTATAATGTGCTATGTTTAAGCATTATTGTCTTTCTCTATGACAAGCAACAGCTCTGTCCTAGGTCCAAATTAGAAAAACATATATTGATATTTAATTCAGAATCTCATTAATTGGTAGCTGATCTGATTAACTAGACAGAATGTGACAGATTTTCTCCTTATCTCCCAGTCTGCATATAGTGAAGCTCACTAATAAATTAATGGATGATATTAATAGCAGTGATCTCAGATGACAATGCTAACACTGACTCCTGGGCATCCCGTCACATCCTGCTGTCATACATTCAGTAATGACCAACACCAGCCAAAGTGAGTAAGATCTCCCAATACCATGTGGTATTGAGTCTTCTCAGATATATTCACTTGTTTGGCTCAAGACATGAATCTGAGCTGTGTGCTGCCTTCCTGAGACAATACTATAAAAATTTCTGACAACAGAAAACTAACCAAGTTTGTCCAATCTGTTGCTATAGCTAACCAGTAATTTCTTTTGTCAAATGTAGATACTGTTCCCAGTACCTTCCTATGGGCTTGATGCTCAAAGACACGAAGATCCCATCCACCTTCCTCAGAAATGCATCAGGCTACTCTGTTTGCAGCATCGCCCAGGTTCCTAAAACAATCTTCCCTTTACAAATTACTTTTATATCTACTATGAAAGGATGAGCTCTTGTTTAAATGTCTAACTGTGAACATCAAGTGTGCTGACTGGAGATAAATGTTTTTCATCTTTTTTTTTTTTTTTTTTTTTCCTAAGATGGAGTCTCACCCTGCCGCCCAGGCTGGAGTGCAGTGCTGCAATCTCGGCTCACTGCAAGCTCCGCCTCCCAGGTTCATGCCATTCTTCTGCCTCAGTCTCCTGAGTAGCTGGGACTACAGGCGCCGGCCACCACGCCCTGCTAATTTTTTGTGTTTTTAGTAGAGACGGGGTTTCACTGTGTTAGCCAGGATGGTCTCAATCTCCTGACCTCATGATCCACCTGCCTCGGCCTCCCAAACTGCTGGGATTACAGGTGTGAAACACCCCGCCCGGCCATGTTTTTCATCTTAATTCTTCTATTGATTAAAATATGTTCTGTAAACTAAAATATGATATTGAAGTATGAAGTTCAAGTTTCTTCTTTCAGTTTCAGCTGATAACAAATAATTATACCAGAATGAAAAAGCAGAACTGCTCCAAATGCACAAAACTTAGCTAGCACTAAAAGAAATACTGAATTTTCCCCAATAGTATATAATATTTTATTGTAACAAAAATATTTAGATGAGTTTCACAGCTATATATTATCATATAGGTACCCACTGAGAAGGATAAGGTGGATAAACTGACATTTAACAATATTTTACTATACATCCAATTAATCTAAGTAATTCTGGGGAAAAGAAAAATATATAAAAGCATCCCTTTTTATATAATTCCTTATTTTTTCCAGACAACATAGAATCAAGATACAATTGTAGATCATTATAATTCTAAACTTAGTATTAGAACTTGCAATGTGTGAAAATTCCAGTTATATATTCCTAGGCATTTGTCAAATGATAATCAAATGTTTGTCTTATAGTGGTTTTATATTTGTGAGATAATACTCCATTACTTCATTGCTTTATACTGCCATGGGTCCTTCTGTTTGATGTTCTACGTTAGCTCAGATATTCTAGTAAACTCAGTTTTTTGTTTTTTTTTTTTTTTCATCTGGTTAGCCTTTGGGTTATCACTTCTCGATACATAATAGAGATGTAGATAAGCAATAAAAAGATGACAAAGAAATCATCTAGGAAGCCTAGGATTCCAAACAAGGCTTCAGGTACAAAATCTAGAGGAGATATAAGATAGAAAAAAGCTCCCATTAAACAAAGTATTATCCTGATGCGAAACATCCAGAAAAGGCCCCCGACTGAAAACATTTCCCTGAATGCATGCCTCAGTAAAGTGGGTAGATCCATAATTCTCTCCATAATCTGGTAGAGGGAAAAACAAATATTATGATTTAGCATCTAATGTGTCAGGTTTCAAAATAATGTAATTTTCTTACTATGTGTAAACATTGTTAAGATTAGTTAAGATGAATTAATGAGTTACACATTGATTGAACATCATATTTTCTAATTATGCGTTGTACTTAAAAATAGCTCTTTGAATACTAGTTCTTACAGAATAGATCTTATTGCAGATAACTGAAAAGCAACTAAAGTGTCATCAAGCTTAAAATATGGGATAAAGTAATGCAAAACTCAAGTAACATCTGATTTGTTAGTAAAATAAACCAAAGAACCTAGTGCACAGGATTAGAGTCTGAGACTTGAGTGTAAGTCTCAGCTTTAAAGTCAGACAGATCTGGGTTTGAATTCAAAATCAATCACTTATTAGCCAGGTGATCTTAGGAACAGTTGCTTAACCTACTAGAGATAATTCAACAACTAACTGAGTATGTGCAAGGACTGTTAAGAACGAAAATTCAAAAGAAAAAAATAACTAAAAAAGATACTATGTATGAAAGACCTTTATAACTTGCCAGACAATATAGAAGTGATTATATATTAAAGACATAGGAACTTTGATGGTTTAAATAGTTTAAGAATAGCAGTGAAACTGATTCCTTCCAGTGAATCACTTCCTCTGGTCATTCCTCTGCTATGTTTAACATTCTGTGTTAACAGTCATACACCCAAACTCTAGATAGGCGTTTTATGTAACAAGTGCCAAATAAGTTGAGAGGGAGACAGAGACAAAAACACAAAGAACTGAGCAAGTGAGGAGAAAATAGTTTTTTAAACCCCCAGACCAAGAGAAAACCATCTTGTGACTCCTTTTGGAACAATGATCACCAAAGTACAAGAATGGTTGTTTCATAATCACTTCCTATGTTCTGTGGAAGAACTAATATCTAAAGCAAAACAGCCTTACCACTTTCACAAAGTTTATAGTAAATGACTTTAGATACTCTAACAAACAGCCAGCATGTCTTTTGAATACCTTTCTGTCCTTTTTCAGAGCTATTTTGTTCACTTGTAATATAGTATCATCATTTATACAAAATCTTTAATAATTTGACAAGAAATATGAAATGGTTTAGTAAGAAATGTTTCTGCATAAACTTACTCCAACTTTGAAGGAGGCAGAATATTAAAGAGCTAAATGCCTTTATTCTGTTATAATTTCATCACATACCAGGCTTTCTTACTCATTAAATATCTGACACAAAAAATAATAATTGAGTAATAGTATGCTTCACATTTTAAAAATATGAAGGAAAAATTTTAAAGGCCGGATGCAGTGGCTCACACTGGTAATCCCAGCACTTTGGGAGGCCAAGGCTAGCAGACTGCTTAAAGCCAAGAGTTTTGAGATCAGCCTGGCAAACAGGGCAAAAACCCGTCTCTACTAACATACAAAAATTAGCTGGGCATGGTGGCACACACCTGTAATCCCAGCTAGTCAGCTGGCTGAAATATGAGAATTGTTTGAACCCAGGAGGCAGAGGTTGCAGTGAGCTGAGATCACGCTATTGCATTCTGGCCTGGGCAACAGAGCGAGACTCTCTCAAAAAGAAAAGAAATGAAAAGAAAAATGTTAAATGACTTTTTAAAGTTCAGTGGTAGCTCTTAAATTTGAAACAGGTCGCATTTTTAAAGAACCATCCTATTGATGTCATCAGAGGATATGTAAAAAAAAAATTGCTGGATCAAAATTGCAGAAGAGGCTCCCAAATAATTATGGAGGACAACATGATTAGATTAAGTTTTTTTAATGCTTAATGAAAAATGGGTAAATCTACCCATTATCATTCGTAACAGTTGAACCTCTATGCCCTGAAATGTACATGACCTCACAGAACAAGGAACAATGGAGCATGAGCACATGTCTGTTTAACACTGAAGCATCTGCATAGCTTAATATATTTGGCTGGGAGCAGCAGTATCAATTCTTACCTTAACAGTAATTCATTCATTTATTCAACACACATTAAGGCACTGAATTTGGCACTGGTGAATAAATAAACTTGGCAATGGTAAATAAATAAAAATGGACCTTACCCTTATGAAGCTTTTAGTTTACTGAGAGAAAGATAACGAACAAGAATTGAGTGCTGTCTATGATAAACGCCATGAAGGAAAGGTACAGCAGGCAGCCACAGAGCAGGGAAAGCTTCTCCAAGAAGGGTCTACTTGGGAGTTATACCTGATGTAAAGGACGAGTTGATGGGTGCAGCACACCAACATGGCACAAGTATACATATGTAACAAACCTGCACGTTATGCACATGTATCATAGAACTTAAAGTATTAAAAAAAAAAAAAAAAAAAAGATAGTTGTCATCTAAAGACTGGGAAATCACCATGAGAGCAGAAGGACAAGCATTTCATGCAGAGGAAGTGTCAGGTGTGACAGCCTTAAGGTGGAAGGAGTTTGTGTGTGTGCTGAGAGCATACAGCAGGGTGGCTGCAGGGTGGTGATTGAGGCGGTTAACAGAAATTTGGAAAGGGAGGAAGGACCAGATTCTGTGGCGCCTTGTAAGCCACAGTAAGGAGTTGGAACATTCAAAGACATTGGGCCACAAGTGGTGGCTCATGCCTGAAATCCCACCACTTTGGGAGGCCAAGGCGGGAGGACCACTTGAGCCCAGGAGTTTAAGACCAACCTGGCCAACACGGGGAAACCCCATCTCTACAAAAAATATAAAAATTAGCTGGGTTGTGCTGGCATGCACCTGTAGTCCCATCTACTTGGGAGGCTGAGGTGGGAGGATGGCTTGAGCCCAGGAGGCAAAGGTTGCAAGTGACCCAAGATTGCGCCACCACACTCGAGCCTCAAAACAAACAAACAAAATGGAAGTTTTCAAACATAAGAGCATCATGGTCTCATTTATGTCCAGAAAATATTTATCAGGCTGCTGTGGCAGGGAAAAAAGTAGAAGTGAGGAGGCCACTGTGGTTGCTGTGAGCAGAGATGACAGGGGTGGACCAGTACAATGTCTACAGTGATTGAAAGAAGTGGATACAGGCTGGGCACGGTGGCTCACACCTGTAATCCCAGCACTTTGGGAGGCTGAGGGGGTGGATTGCTTGAGCCCAGGAGTTCGAGGCCATCCTGGGCAGCATGGCAAAACCTAGTCTCTACAAAAAATTAGCCAGGTGTGGTGATGCACCACTGTGGTTCCAGCTACTTGGGAGGCTGAGGCGGTAGGATGGCCTGAGCCTGGAAGGTTGAGGCTGCAGTGAGACGTGATTGCACCACTGCACTCCAGCCTGGGAAGGAGTGAGACCCTGTCTCAAACAACAACAACAACAACACAGTCAAGACATTTTTGTTCTTTTTGAGACAAGGTCTCACTCTATCACCCAGGCTGGAGTGCAGTGACGTGATCCTGGCTCATTGCAACCTCTGCCTCCCGGGCTTAAGCAATTCTCCTACCTCAGCCTCCCAAGTAGCTGAGACTACAGGTGCACACTACCATGCCTGACTAATTTTTGTATTTTTTGGTAGAGATGAGGTCTTGCTAAGTTGCCCAAGCTGGTCTCAAACTCCTGAGCTCAAGTGATCTGCCTGCCTCAGTCTCCCAAAGTGGGATTACAGGCATGAGCTACTGTGCCCTGCCAGCAAGAATATGTTGATGCAGTAAAAATAATAGGATACCCCAAAAATAGAAAGAAAAGATAGGATTACTTATAGATCAAATGAGAGGAATGAAGAAGAGGAGGAAATAAAAAATGAGAAAAGAATAGACTATGTCAAGGAGGGAATCAGCTAAATACTCCACATGTTAACTTAGAGATGCCAGTGGAGCACCCATGCTAAAATGGAAGCGAAGCAGTTGGATCTACAGAGTCTGGAGCTCAGAGAGGAGAGGTCTGGGCTGTCCATATAAATTTGGATTTAGTACATTCTAATTTTTGAAGTACTTATTCGGTTTTACATTTCTAAGAATGTGTTAGATTTTGATAAAACAAGAATGAGTCAGTAAAATGTGCTAGGTTTTGATTTATCAAATACTTCTAGGGTAAGGGGAAGAAAGGTTATCTGTACAGTGTTCTGCTTTTAAATAGCTAAGATGACATATAAACATATCCCTCCAAACTTTTTTTTTTTTTTTTGACATGGAGTCTCACTTTGTTGCCCAGGCTGGAGTGCAGTGGCACGATCTCAGCTCACTGCAACCTCTGCCTCCTGGGTTCAAGTGATTCTCCTGCCTCAGCCTCCTGAGTAGCTGGGACAACAGGCGCAAGCCACCATACCCAGCTAATTTTTGCATTTTTAGTAGAGACAGGGTTTCACCATGTTGGCCAGGCTGGTCTCGAACTGCTGACCTCAGGTGATCTACCCACCTTGGCCTCCCAAAGTGCTGGGATTACAGGTGTGAGCCACCGCACCCGGCCAACCTGGAATTTTTTTTTTTTTTTTTTTTTTGAGATGGAGTCTCGCTCTGTTGCCCAGGCTGGAGTGCAGTGGCACAGTCTCGGCTCACTGCAAGCTCCACTTCCTGGGTTCACGCCATTCTCCTTCCTCAGCCTCCCAAGTAGCTGAGACTACCAGCACCCACCACCACACCCGGCTAATTTTTTTGCATTTTTAGTAGAGACGGGATTTCACCGTGTTAGCCAGGATAGTCTCTATCTCCTGCCTTGTGATCTGCCCGTCTCGGCCTCCCAAAGTACTGGGATTACAGGCGTGAGCCACCACGCCCGGCCCCAACCTGGAATTTTTTAAGGGAAGATTTCAAACGGGGCTAGGGCAAATAGAATAAACTGTAACTGTGAAACTGTTGAAGTTTTCAGTTGTAACTTTTCTCAAAAAACAAACGGTGTTTTAGTATCACATAGAAGTAAATAATTTTCTATTTCCCTCTAATTTTTTCTATTGCTTTTCTGCTAGTTTTTCTTTCATAAAAATTTGTATAATGCTATTTGTTTTTTAAGAAAGAAAACTGTAGTCCTTGGGAAAGCTGTAACAGTGATTGGCAGCAATGAAGGTAAAAACTTGACCGAACACATATAATGATATATTTTTTTTCTTTTTCTTTTCTTGTTTTCTGAGAAAGGGTCTCACTCTGCCACCCAGGTGGGAGTGCAATAATGCGATTATGGCTCACTAGAGCCTTGACCTCCTAGGCTTAGGTGATCCCCCCATTTCAGCCTTCCAAGAAGCAGGGACCACAGGCATGTGCCAACACTCTTGGCCAATTTTTTGGTATTTTTTATAGAGATGGGGTTTCATCATGTTGCCCAGGCTGGTCTCAAAATCCTGGGCTCAAGTGATCCACCTGCCTTGGCCTCCCAAAGTGCTAGGATTACAGGCGTGAGCCACTGTGCCTGGCCAAGATTTTTCATAGTCAAAGAATACTTGTTGGTAAACCTCACTTTACAAAAGAGAAGAAATGTGTCTTCCTCTAACTTTGAACATGCTTTAGCATTACTTACAGATCTGGGTTGCCCTGAGAATCTCCGGTTATAATCATTAATATCCTGATGCAATCTCACAACATCCTGAGACTGATCGTCTTCACCAAATACCGTTAGGAGTAAGGTTACCTGTATATTACAGAAAAAAAAATTATTTCAACTTTCTGCATCATTATGTTTTTCATTTTGTGTTATTATTCAATCGAATGGTAAAGGCTTCTATATTTATATTTCACTCATTTTTAAATAAAGGCAACCTGGAGGAGGGGAGTAAGTAACTGCTTTGCAATAAAATCCAGTGCAGCATAGAATTTGAACTCCTATAAGATAAAATAGGCACCATATCCAACTACTGGTCTAATAGTTTCCTGTCCACACTAGGGATAAATTCAGTAGTTCTCTAATTGGGCTGACAGATATTTGAAGATGCAAGAATGATGAGAAAACATTCAGGAGGAAAGTGACATACAATATATAACTGTCACTTTAAGAAAAAAAATTACTTTTTTTTTTTCAGTATTAAAATAATGATTGGTTATTCTTACTGGTATTTGAAAGATCTTTGAATGCTACCAACCATAATATAAAGATTATGTTATTGCAGGGACCAGCTCTCAAACACCAATTCCTACTATAATAAAAAAAAAAAAGAAATTTTTGACATTGTTATATAACATAATACATTTAACCATGCTTCCTTCATGGTTGTGGTAACAAGGATATACAAATGTCCCAGGACCATACTGGGGTAATCTGACGGTGACAGTACCTTGAAAAATAAATACACTTTAGGACGTAGCACCCCTACAGAAAATGGTCACTAATGATTGTATGATGACTTAAAAGAAGTAGCGGTGGCCGATTTAGTTTTAAATCATTTAGTTGTTGTTTTATCCTTCCTCAGTTCAGCTGTAAAACCAAGGCTTCCCACTGCTTACATGCTTTCCAAACAGCTAAATGAAGGCGTGACTAAGCACAGAAGGTGGTGAGAACAGCAGGTGCAGCCATCGGTTCCTTCACAAATTTGTTAATGAAAATGCATTCTTTCAATAAACATTAATGGAACACCTATGGCGGGGCAGGCACTCTGCTAAGTGCTAGGTATGCCAAAAAAATGAAGACACAAGCCTGCTCCAGGGTGACTACAACACCCACAATGAAAGGGGACGCAGACCTGGCTGACAGCCTTACATGGCCCTGGGGCAGGTGCAAGAATGCTGCAGAGTGAGGATCTCTTCTTTCTGGGGTGGTCAGAAAGCCTGATACTGAGCTAAGCCTGGAAACAGTGGTAGGACTGTGGTTGGTGTACACACATTCAAGGGGAGAAGCAGTGAGTGTGTTCCAGTCAAAGGCCTGTGTATTGCTATTTCCATGACCATTTACTGAAGGGGCCTACTGAAAACAGGAGGTAGAACAAGCATTTGCCATCTGTCTTGCCTCCAGGATGAATTACTCTTCGCTTAGAGAACCAAGAGCTATTATGTTAAGACAACTTTATCTCGACCTTCTGAGCCTCTAGTCAATTTATGGATGGTACACAGGATACCACTGGCTACTGTACACATGCCCTATGAAAAGCCATGGGCAGAACCAAGAAGGGGGAGGGCCTGGAACTATTTTTGTAACGTAAGACCTACTCCCTGGTTTGGATATTGCTGACTGAGAGCAAAAGATGCCAAGAGGTGGTACTAGCAAATAAGCTTCAATTTTTTTTTTTTTTTTAATTTTTTTTTTGAGGTGGAGTCTCTCTCTGTCTCCAGGCTGGAATGCAGTGGCGCAATCTCGGCTCACTGCAACCTCCACCTCCCGGGTTCAAGTGATTTTTCTGCCTCAGCCTCCCGAGTAGCTGGGACTACAGTTGTGCACCACCATGCCCAGCTAATTTTTGTATTTTTAATAGAGACTGGGTTTCACTATGTTGGCCAGGATGGTCTCGATCTCTTGACCTCATGATCTGCCCACCTCAAACCTCCCAAAGTGCTAGGATTACAGGTGTGAGCCACCACGCCCAGCCATAAGCTTCAATGTTGATTGCCTTGTGTCACGCATCAAATCAGCCAGAGAGGCATACAGAAACATCAGTTTTCCTCCTGACCATGTGACCACAAGTAAAATATGAAAGAGGCAGAATTTCGGAATGTAGAAGCAAGAATGGTAAGAAAATGACTTGGACCTCCCTCTTTACACCAAAATAAGAGGGCAGTTGAGGGGAAACAGACAGCTACAATAAAGGCCAAAGGGGCGGGAGAGAGAGAGAGAGAGAGAGAGAGAGAGAGAGAGAGAGAGAGAGAGAGAGAGAGAGAGACATTCCACCCACGGGTTAAGTGGAGGAATACATTTTTTTTAGTGATATAATCTGGTTCTATTGTCCAGGCTGGAGTGCAGTCCCATGATCATAGCTCATTGCAGCCTCAACCTCCTGAGCTCAAGCAATCCCCCCCACTTCAGCCTCCCAAGTAGCTGGGACTACAGGTATATACCACCACACCTGGCTAATTTTATTTTTAAAATTTTTTTGTAGAGATGAAATCTCATTTTGTTGCCCAAGCTGGTATCGAACTCCTGGCTTCAAGTAATCCTCCTGCCTTGGCCTCCCAAAGTGCTGGGATTATAGGCATGAGCTACTGCGCCCAGCCTGTTTTTTTATTTTAAATGAAAAATAAAGGAAATTATGAAAAACAGTGTACAACTGATAAAATGTCCTATGTTGTCATACTTAAAAACTGAGATTGTTGGTTTCTCAGAATTGTTCAGTATTTCATTTCTCCAGTTTATCAAAGAAATGGAGAGAATTTGGCATGTCTCATCTGCAGTGACATTTCAGTCTCACATTCATGTTTACTTACTGCCTCCCTCCTGAGGTGGCTTCGATGCTAACTGTCATGGTTTAAGCTGTTCTGGACAATGCAATGTGGCCATGTCTCTAAAAGGAACAAAACATTTAAAAAAAAGTCATTATATACCATTTAAAGCTATCTGGGTCCTCACTGGAAAAAGACAGATTAAATATAAATTGAAAAGGAAAAAAATTTTTTTCAAAACAAGTGTATGTAGAGGATATATGTTCAAGTCTGATTACGTAGTTTGGTTATTCCTTTGCTGGTACTGCTACAAAGACTTTATTGGGATTTTGGGGAAGGATTCATTTACCAGTTGTCTTTCACTACAACTGTAGGATTTCAAATAGGATTCCCTTTTTCAGTGGTATCTCAATGACAGTTTAAAAAAAAAATAATGGGCCAGGTACAGTTAAAAAAAAATCATGGGCTGGGCGTGGTAGCTCATGCCTGTAATCCCAGCACCCTTGGAGGGTGAGGCAGGAGGATTGCTTGAGCTCAGGAGTTTGAGACCAGCCTGGGCAATGCAGGGAGACCTCATCTTTACTAAAAATTAAAAAAATTAGCCAGGCATGGTGGCACATGCCTATAGTCCCATCTACTCAGGAAGCTAAGGTGGAAGGACTGCTTGGGCTCAGGAGGTCGAGGCTGCAGGAAGCTACGATCATGCCACTGCACTGCAAGACCTTTTCTCAAAAAAAAAAAAAAAAAAAAAAAAGTAATAAAAACAATAGAGTAACATCAAAGAAGATTTGGATAAATGAAGTTCTGCTAAAAAGATAAGAATAATTCCAAATGTAGGTACAAAAACTATAAAAATGTACAAAATAGCATAAATGACGCTTTCTGCACACAAAACATTACCGTTTGTCTACAGATTGGACAACTGATTGCCCCAAGCCATGAACCATATCGCCAGTAAGCAATAATGCAGGCACCTAATAGACAAAACAAAACAAACAATCCATTAATATTGATGTTTTAAAGTCCATATATCGTCAGAAAGATTCAACTATTCGAAATATTTTAACAGTACCACCTTATTTAAAAATACTTTTTACTTCATCCAGCCAACCTTCAGGCAAATTCATATCTAGTAAGAACTCCTAGCCATTAAAATTGTTTTAATTTAAATTCCAGGTTAAGGCCGGGCATGGTGGCTCACGCCTGTAATCCCAGCACTTTGGGAAGCCAAGGTGGGTGGATCACTTGAGGTCAGGAGTTTGAGACCAGCGTGGCCAACATGGTGAAACCCCATCTCTACTAAAAAATACAAAACTTAGCCAGGTATGGTGGCACACGCCTGTAATCCCAGCTACTTGGGAGGCTAAGGCAGGAGAATTGCTTGAACCTGGGAGGTGGAGGTTGCAGTGAGCTAAGATCATGTCACTGCACTCCTGCCTGGGCAACAAAGCAAGACTCTGTCTCAAAAAAAAAAAAAAACTCCAAGTTAAGATACAGTTGTACACAATCAAAAGTAAGTATACATTAACTGCCTTAATACTATGAAGCTTCATACAAAATATTATATTTCCTATGTAATATAAATAAAACAATAATTAAACATCATTGTAAATATAACAACCAACAAATTAGAGCATAAATTTTCTGTTCTAAATTTGCTATGTTACAAAACACAACTTTTAAAAGAGTTTAGAAAACCAAATTATCAATGTATTAACTAATAGTAATTAGGTATTAATAGTACAAGTGGCCAGGCACAGTGGCTCACGCCTGTAATCCCAGCACTTTGGGTGGCTGAGGCAGGTGGATCATGAGGTCAGGAGTTCAAGACCAGCCTGGCCAACATAGTGAAACCCCGTCTCTACTAAAATACAAAAAAATTAGCCGGGCTTGGTGGCGGGTGCCTATAAATCCCAGCTACTTGGGAGGCTGAGGCAAGGAGAATCGCTTGAACCTGGGAGGCAGAGGTTGCAGTGAGCTGAGATGACACCACTGCACTATAGCTGGGTGACAGTGCAAGACTCCATCTCAGAAAAAAAAAAAAAAAATAGTATAAGCAAGGAATCAAAGGACACAAAAAGATTATATGCTCTGCCCTAATGAAGTGTATAGTCCAGTTCAAGAATCGAATCAACTCTTGCACTAGAGGGATTGGATTTTTCTGCTTGAAGGTATTCACAAGCAGCAAGCCAGCCGAAGATGGGCAACACAGCCTGAAGGAAGAGTCTGGCGACCTCAAGAAGGCAGAGGTGTGCCAAGTGTATAAGCACCAAACTTTAGGCCAATAACAGGTGAAGGAATAGTTTTGAATACTGTCTGGTATTTAAGGAGCCAATCCACTTTCTTTTTTGTAGGACACCTGCATCTTCAACTATCCAGGTCCCACTGTGAATCTGAACTAAGTGCTAAGTGCTGAACTAGTGTCCCTTCTCCCTCCAGGAACCTCTGTGTATTCTTGCTCTTGCCTGAGCAACCTGGCTTAGCCCTCCTGTGTTCCTTATTCCTCCAGATCAAGTAAGTGTTCAGAATTCAGAACAAGCAATGGCAATCCAATTGAGGAGACCCAGGTGACATACTCAAATCAATGTAGAAGGCAAATCTTCAACTGTGTCATATTAACTTGAAATACAAAAAAGGGCCAGGCACAGTGGCTCACACCTGTAATCCCAGCACTTTGGGAGGCTGAGGCAGGCGGATCACCTGAGGTCTGGAGTTCGAGACCAGTCTGACCAACATGGAGAAACCCTGTCTCTACTAAAATACAAAATTAGCTGGGCTTGGTGGCGCATGCCTGTAATCCCAGCTACTTGGAAGGCTGAGGCAGGAGAATTGCTTGAACCCAGGAGACGGAGGTTGCAGTGAGCCAAGATTGCGCCATTGCACTCCAGCCTGGGCAACAAGAATGAAACTCTGTCTCAAAAAAAAAAAAAAAAAAAGCCTGGGCACGGTGGCTCACACCTGTAATCCCAGCACTTTGGGAGGCCGAGGCAGGTGGATCACGAGGTCAGGAGATCGAGACCATCTGGCTAACATGGTGAAACCCCATCTCTACTAAAAAATACAAAAAATTAGCTGGGGGTGGTAGCAGGCACCTGTAATCCCAGCTACTCAGGAGGCTGAAGCAGGAGAATGGCATGAACCCGGGAGGCAGAGCTTGCAGTGAGCCGAGATTGTGCCACTACACTCCAGCCTGGGTGACAGAGTGAGACTCCGTCTCAAAAAAAAAAAAAAAAAAAAAAAAAAAAGAAATACGAAAAAGGAGTGCAGAGAAGTATGCATTAGAGAGTAACATGTAGAGAAGAAAGGATTTGAACTGAACTTCATAGGACAGATGAGATTTAGATAGGCAGAAAACAGGAGGGAGGACACTTCAGGTTTTAAGAACAGCAAGAGCAAATGTCGGAAAGGAGTGTCACGTGGATTAGGTTCAAGAGGAGAAATGTATCTACCTTCTCTGATGCCCATTTAATTTTCCCTGCCCAATCTTTCATAACTTGCCTGGTGATTAGCATTTCCAATAGAAAATTAAAAGATTAAAAACTGAAATAAGCATTTTATACTTTGTTAGTTACTTAAGTGAAAACGTTAAAGAAGAGACTGGAATGAGTGGATGAAGCAATGATGAGATTGGATTACTGAAAGAGCACAAGGTACAGAAAACCCTGCCATTACATGGTATGGGTTCCAAATATGCCATCTCCAACTGCACAAATAACACTGTATCTAATAATTCTATACTATGAAGTTAGACAAAAGGGCCAACACAATTTACAGGATGATTATATGCTACATTTTAAATTAGTCCCTATATGAAAATTTCCTACATTTTGGGAGCAATAAGACCCTATCTTGAACACAACTATTTAAATAGAAACAATAAAAAACTAGGTCTAGTGACTGGACAAATCAAAGTGGCTTCGAGTGTTTACTATTGTATGAACCACTAATCATGCAGAACTGAGCACAGGAATTGAAGATAAACCTAGGTTTAAAATCTTTGGCTCTGTCTGGGCTGGGTGTGGTGACTCACGTCTGTAATCCCAGCACTTTGGGAGGCCAAGGTGGGTGGATCACGATGTCAGGAGTTTGAGACCAGTCTGGCCAACATGGTGAAACCCCATCTCTACTAAAAATACAAAAATTAGCTGGGCATGGTGGCAGGCACCTATAATCCCAGCTGCTTGGGAGGCTGAGGCAGGAGAATCGTTTTAACCTGGGAGGCGGAGGTTGCAGTGAGCTGAGAGCACACCATTGCACTCCAGCCTGGGCGACAAGGTGAGACTCCATTTCAAAAAAAAAAAAAAATTGGCTCTGTCACTTAACAGCTGGCCTACTCTTTGTAAAATGTATTATTATTATTTTTTTGAGACAGGATCTTGCTCTGCTGCCCATGCTGAAGTGCAGTAGCATGATCACAGCTCATTGCAGCCTCAAGCTCCTGGGCTCAAGCGATTCTTCTACCTCAGCCTCCCCAGTAGCTAGGACTGCACATGTGAGCTATTGCACCTGGCTAATTTCTTATTTTTTGTGGAGACAGGGTCTCCCTATGTTTCCCAGGCTGGCCTCCAACTCCTGGGCTCAAGCAATCCTCCTGCCTATGCTGAGATTACAGGTGTGAGCCACAGTGCCTGGTCTCTTTGTAACATTTCTTCATATCTCTAAAGCCTGTTTCCTCATAGGTGGGGTTAGATGAAGTATATTAATGTCCAATACATAGGCTTGTAATAACTGATACTTTGCCCCTCAACCTGCTATGGCATAATCAGCCATAGAAGATTTTCCTGAATCTGCAGATTCAGGAAAAATGAGGAGTGGTGGAAAGCACTGCTTCCTGATACTAAGTAAGTGTGAAATTATTCCCTTCTTACCCCAAGGCATGCTCTAGGGTTCTCATTCTCCCTCATTAAACCTCAAGAGGTTGAGAGAGAGACAGACAGAGATAGAGATAAACATACTGAGACTAAGACCTTTAAGACTTTCAGTACAAACTCAGAGTCAAAAGAGGCAGGAGGGCAATGCAGGGTCTTGGGCAGGTTCTTGAGAGAAGAACCTTCCTGCCCTGGGAAGGATGAATAATAAATGAAACTCCCAAAGAGTGATGAACAAAGAGGGACTCAGTGAATCCCTCATGCTATGGATCTACTTGAACTACTGTCCAAAGAAACACACTTCTGTTTATGGGGAAGCTGAATAGTTTCTTTAACTTCTGAACCCATAGCTGCTACATGGACAAACTAAATAGAGTAAATAAGTAAGTATATTATTTAGATGCTAAGTATACTTGGTTGACAAGTAGAACAGGATATCAGAGGTAATCTACCCTACTCGCAAAATACAAAATGTGACAAAGAGAAAATTAGGAATCCAGCCTTTGTATACATAGAGGTCTTGGTCTTGGTCTAAACAGTCACTTTTCCCAAGTATAGTGTTGTTTGCTTACCACAAAAAAGATGTCCACAGTTGGTCTCCACCGGGAAGGAGGCTTGGTGCAGGCAGATGGGACAGTACATGTCGGTGTAGAACTGCTGTCGAGCAGCAGCAGGTGCATCCTAATAAGAACACAGGTGCACACATTGGAATACAACACATGTAGTCCTCAACAGTATCTCATGTTAAATTATATTTGAGAACAGAGTCAACAGTGTGTAACCCTCATCACACTGTAAACGTGCAATAGTTTAAGGTTATAATTTTTTCTTTTTTTTTTTTTTTGAGACGGAGTCTTGCTCTGTCTCCCAGGCTGGAGTGCAGTGGCCGGATCTCAGCTCACTGCAAGCTCCGCCTCCCGGGTTACACCATTCTCCTGCCTCAGCCTCCCGAGTAGCTGGGACTACAGGCGCCGCCACCTCGCCCGGCTAGTTTTTTGTATTTTTTAGTAGAGACGGGGTTTCACCGTGTTAGCCAGGATGGTCTCGATCTCCTGACCTCGTGATCCGCCCGTCTCGGCCTCCCAAAGTGCTGGGATTACAGGCTTGAGCCACCGCGCCCGGCCCCCTAAGGTTATAATTTTAAGAACATTATGAGGCTATATTGTTTTTATTTAAGCTGCATGGTCTCCACTTTCCTTCCTAAACACAATTTAAAGACAAAAACTTAGATTAACTCAAGAGTTCATCTTTTACTCTACTGGAATATATAAATTATTCTGAGTAACACAAGGCTGAGCTAGTGCATAAGCTAACAATAATAAATGTTGAGGTCGGGTGCGGTGACTCATGCCTGTATTCCCAGCACTTTGGGAGGTCGAGGCAGGTGGATCACTTGAGCCCAGGAGTTCCAGATGAGCCTGGGCAACATGGCAAAACCCTGTCTCTATAAAAAATAGAAAAATTAGCCAAGAGTGGTGGTGGCATGCACCTGTAGTCCCAGCTACTTGGGAGACTGAGGTGGGTGGTCACCTGACCCTGGGAGGTTGAAGCTGCAGTGAGCCGTGACTGCGCCACTGCACTCCAGCCTAGGTGACAGAGCAAGACCCTGTCTCAAAAAGAAAAAAATATCAAACGTCAAACTGTTTTCTAAGTCTTCACTTTTTTCATTTTCAACGTCTTTTTCATTTTAAAAGTGTTGCACATATGCAAGAAACATCCAGATATCAAAGACCTCACTAGGATGGATCATGAGGGCAAGGGATTTATCTGTAGGACTCATTGTACCTCAGGACTTAGAAAAGTGTCTACATGGCTGGGCATGGAGGCTTACACCTATAATCCCAGCACTTTGGGTGGCTGAGGTGGGTGGATCACTTGAGGTCAAGAGTTTGAGACCAGCCTGGCCAACATGGTGAAACCCTGTCTCTACCACAAAATACAAAAATTAGCTGGGCATGGTGGCGTGCACCTGTAGTCCCAGCTACTTGGGAGGGTGAGGTGGGAGAATCACTTGAACTCAAGAGGTGGAGGCTGCAGTGAGCCGAGATCATACTGCTACACTCCAGCCTGGGCAACAGAGACCCTGTCTCAAAAAAAAAGAAGTGTCTACATAACGTATATCTTATGTTATTGTATTGTAAAAATACTTATTTATCAAAACTTGTTTTGATGGAACCCAGCAGATAAAGTTGCCAGCATGAAAAGTATCTAATTACAGAAAAAGTATCAAATTTACTAAATAGGAACTGTTCTTAAGTGAATCAGATTTTTGCCACTCAATATTAATAAACAAATTTAATAAATTTAAATAATAATAAACATAACTAAAAGGTCATACTTCCAAAATAGCCCTAAATCACCAGAATATTCTGTGATTCAAGGCTACACCTTGATGTTATAGTTACTTATGTCAGTTTTAATGCTACAAAAAGTGTACAGCACTTTATGTTCCCTTCTCCACCTTTTCTTTTCTTTTTGAGGCAGAGTCTCACTCTGTCACCCAGGCTGGAATGCGGTGGTACAATCGCAGCTCACTGAAACCTCTGCCTCCCGGGTTCAAGTGATTCTCCTGCCTCTGGAGTAGCTAGGATTATAAGTGCCCACTACCAAGCCCAGCTAAATTTGTATTTTTAGTAGAGACAGGGTTTTGCCATGTTGACCAGGCTGGTCTTGAACTCCTGACCTCAGGCGATCTGCCTGCCTCAGCCTCCCAAAGTGCTGGGATTACAGGCGTGAGCCACTGCACTCAGCCTTCTCCTTATTAATTTTTAAAGAAACTGACAAAAATCAATTAACAGAGATGTCCAATAGAACTTTCTGCAGTAATTGAAATCTTTATCAGTGCTGTCCAATACAGTAGCCACGAGCCACATGTGGCCATTGTGTACTTGAAATGTGGCCAGTGTGACTAGAAGACTTAATTTCAGATTCTATTTAACTCACTTGAATAGCCACAGGTAGCTGGTGGCTGTTATACTAGACAGCAAAGAACAGACTACATCGCCAGCCTTATTTTCACTCTGAGAGCTGTGTGCCGGGCCTCAGGAAGAAGGTGAGGCAGATGAGTGGACACTGCTGCAAGGAGACCTGGAAGATTCACTTCAATCTGGGGCCCCTCCATAGCTGAACTCAGTCATGAAATCGCTAGTGTCAGTGTTAGCAAATCTTAGCAGTCTCATGTTAATGAGAATAATTATAATTGCCTTACTTATGTCTAAAGATTAAATATGATTGTTGTTTGGGAGATCACTTTGTAAATTATAAAACACTATCTCAACATGAATTATGAGTAACAATTGTTATGGAACAGAGTACTACTAATAGGCTTAAAGTATTGCTTTTTTTTTAGACGGAGTCTCGCTCTCTGTCACCAGGCTGGAGTGCAGTGGCGCAATCTCAGCTCACTGCACCCTCCCCCTCCGGGGTTCAAGTGATTCTCCTGCCTCAGTTTCCCAAGTAGCTGGGACAACAGGTGTGCACCACCACACCCAGCTAATTTTTGTATTTTTAGTGGAGATGGGGTTTCACCATGTTGGCCAGGAGGGTCTTGATCTCCTGATCTCGTGATCCGCCTGCCTCAGCCTCCCAAAGTGCTGGGATTACAGGCATGAGCCACTGTGCCTGGCCCTGCTTAAGTTATTCTTGTATCAATGAATATAAGTTCCATGAGGGTAGGAATTTTTGTCTGTTTAATTCACGATTGAATTCCCAATGCCTAGAAAATGTATGGCATGTGGTAGATGTTCAAAAAATATTTGGTGCATGGATAAATTATAAAACCCTTATTGGGGCCAGGCGTGCTGGCTCACACTTATAATCCCAGCACTTTGGTTTTAGTGGAGCAAGCACAGCTCACTGCAGTCTCAACCTCCCAGGATCATGAGATCCTCCCACCTCAGCCTCCTGAGTAGCTGGGACTATAGCTGTGCACCACCATACCCAGATAGCTTTTGTATTTTTAGTAGAGACGGGGTTTTGCCATGTTGCCCAAACTGGTCTGGAACTCCTAAGCTCAAGTGATTCTCCCGCCTTGACCTCCCAAAGTGCTGGGATTACAGGTGTGAGCCACCATGCCCAGACTGTAATCCTAGCACTCTGGGAGGCCGAAGTGAGAGGAGTGCTTGAGCTCAAAAGTTAGACAGCAGCCAGGGCAACATAGTGAGACCCTGTCTCTTTTTAATTAAAAAAACGAAACCCTTATTGGAAGTGAAGTTTGATCAGTAGGAAAGGAATTTTTAATTTTGTTTCTTGATGTTAGATATTTCGGCATGAAGGTGTACAATATCCTATTTATTCCAGGCTTCATAAAGTATATCTCCAATTCTTAGAGATTCCATCTGGTAAAAAGCAAAGAACAAACAGGAAAAAAATTAATTTTTTTCTTTGCCTAGCTAGTTTTATTGTTACAACTTTGGCAACTGAAGAAAAAAGGAGAAAAAAACCAAAACAACCACCTCTTCTAGTTATTTCTTTGTAGATGTTAGGGAATATATGTCAGAAAAAAAGGGTTTTTCTACTACATTTCATTAAGGTCAATTAGACAGCAATTATTTCTACACTAATAAACAATAGGAAAACTGCTATATTTTAAAGCAAATTAATAATAAACAAACATGAAGACATCTGAATAGATTAAGGCTAGGCAATTTGCCCATTCTGCAAATATACAATCTATAAAATAATATAAGGTAATTTGAAGCCAGAAAGAAGCCCATGTTTCCAAAAAGTAATTTACTAATGTTCTATCACAATTTCACATGCAAAGGGAGCTATCACATCTACTCCTCAAATAAATATATATACAATACCTGTTCTGTTTGAAGCTGTTCTCGAAGTACCCTTACTAGCTCCTGGTTTTCTGGGTGAATGTTTTGATGTACATTTCTGTTGAATAGAATATAATAAATTTTGAATAGAAAATATTATCAGATGAATCCATTTTCTTCATGGGTCTCCTTTCTGACTTATAACTACTGGTAATTAATGTAATTGATGGCATGCAAGCACTTCACTTCCAGGACTGGACGTTTCAGGCTGTCCTGTGGTGAGTTCTTCTGAGATCACTGATTATTAGCCAATTTCAGGTTTAAGCGGCAAATGGTAAAATCCAGAGGCCTAGTACCTTGGAAATCTATTGTAAATGCAAGCTTACAAATAATGTAAAGAACATTTGTTTCTTTGGTGAAATTTCTTCAAAATAAGCAGTTATCTAATTTTACCTACTATTATGCATTTGAATGCTTTTCCACATCTAATTAGATCCTTCTCCTAATTTTCAGGTATTAGGGGAGGGGAACAGAGCAGAAACTAAAATTATTTAATGTAGAAAAGCCAAAACTTGGCCAGGTGTGGTGACTCACGCCTGTAATCCCAGCACTTTCGGAGGCCGAGGCAGGTGAATCACCTGAGGTCAGGAGTTTGAGACCAGCCTGGCCAACATGGTGAAACCCTGCTTTTACTAAAAATACAAAAATTAGCCAGGCTTGGTGGTGGGTGCCTATAATCTCAGCTACTCAGGAAGCTGAGGCAGGAGAATTGCTGGAACTCAGGAGGCAGAGGTTGCAGTGAGCTGAGATCGCGCCATTGCACTCCAGCCTGGGCTGACAATGGCAAGACTCCGTCTCAAAAAAAAAAAAAAAGGAAGAAAAGCCAAAACTTAACATGTCACTAATATCTTGACATTAACAATTAAAATGGTGAATCAAAGGCAAGCGGTTAGTGGCTAACATAAATGGATGGGATAAAACATCCCATACTGAAAGTCAGATGTTGGCTGGGCACAGTGGCTCATGCCTGTAATCCCAGCACTTTGGGAGGCCGAGGTGGGTGGATCACCTGAGGTCAGGAGTTCGAGACCAGCCTGAACAACATGGAGAAACCCTGTCTCTATTAAAAATACAAAATTAGCTGGGCTTGGTGGCAAATGCCTGTAATCCCAGCTACTCGGGAGGCTGAGGCAGGAGAATCGCTTGAACCCGGGAGGTGGAGGTTGTGGTAAGCCAAGATTTTGCCATTGCACTCTAGCCTGGGCAACAAGAGCAAAAAACTGTCTTAAAAAAAAAAAAGAAAAAAAAGAAAGAAAGATGTGTTGGTCAGGCTGGTAGGTAGGGTGAGGGCAAAGTGTTACATGTTATCACAGCTTAATTTCATTTGGCTATTAATGATCTTCTAAACATAAATGTCTTGAACAAGAATATTTTAAGTCTACACAGTCCCAAGGTTACTCCACAGAAGAGCCTTTACTCTCTGGGTAAGCCAATATCCAACAGAGATAAGAACTCTCATATTCGAATGTGATAGGCAGAAGTATAGAAATCTATCCTATGATTATTCAATTGTTAGCAAAAAACCGCAAATTTTAGAAAAAGAAATCAACTAAATATAACTGTTAGTTCACAGAAGACATAAAAGCAATTTAAAGTCAAATATCTAAACAATGAAACAATTTGAACTCTGTTTAAACCTGTTAAATCTTATTTTGTTGTTGCTGAGACGGAGTCTCACTCTGTTACCCAGACTGGAGTGTGGTGGCGCAATCTCAACTCACTGCAACCTCCGCCTCCCAGGTTCAAGCGATTCTCCTGCCTCAGCCTCCTGAGTAGCTGGGATTACAGGCACGTGCCACCACACCTAGCTAATTTCTGTATTTTTAGTAGAGATGGGGTTTCACCATGTTGGCCAGGCTGGTCTCGATCCTGACTTCAGGTGATCTGCCTGCCACGGCCTCTCTAAGTGTGGGGATTACAGGCATGAGCCACCATGCCCAGCCTAAACCTGTTAAAGCTTGATGCATTCTTCATTTTAAAATAAGGCACATTCTTATGATTGAACAGATGATCTGTGAAAGAAAGCACTCACTATATGAAAGCACCCTGTCAAGGAGCAATCTAACTAGCAGAGGAACCATCTCATTTAAATACCAGTGAATACCTAGCTAAATGGCATTTCTCCATTCTTTGAGAGTAGAAAACCATTCCCTTTTCATTGGAAAAAAAATCGTGATGATGTTTCAGAGTACAGACATGAACCACGTGACAGGAAAGCCTCTCCTCTGGCTTCTTTCTGTAAGAAAGATGTAAGAATTCTTAAATCTGGTGGTAGAATATTTTTAAAAATATATCCTATTTAAATGTATTTTTAAAATATATAATATTCTATTTATTTAATTATATGTTAAAATATATATAAATTAAAAATATATTTAAATAGAATATATTTTTAAAAATATTCTACCACCAGATTTAGGAATTCCTACATCTTGTTGTGAAGCCAAACAACAAGAACAAATAGCCCAAGCTGCTAAAGACTGCCTGTAACTCCCATGATGATGGTATTTGGAGACAAAACCTTTGGGAGGTAATTAGGTCATGAGGGTGGTGCCTTTGTGATAGGATTACTGCCCTTACAAAAAGATACATGAGATAACCTGCTCCCTGTTCTACTCTCTTCCGTATAAAGACACAGCAAGAAAACCACCATCCACAACCCATGAAGCCGAGTCTTGCCAGACACCAGATCTGACAACACCTTGATCTTAGACCTCCCAGGCTCTCAAACTGTGAGAAATAAATGTTTGTTGTTTAAGCCACCCAGTCTATGGTTATTTGTTTTTATGGGGGGGGGGGGGGGTTTTTGTGTGTGTGTGTGTGTGTGTGTGTGTGTGTGTTTTGTTTTGAGACGGAGTCTTGCTCTGTTGCCCAGGCTGGAGTGCCGTGGCACAATCTCAGCTCAGTGCAACCTCTGCCTCCTGGGCTCAAGCGATTCCCCTGCCTCAGCCTCCCAAGTAGCTGGGACTATAGCTGCACGCCAACATGCCCTGCTAATTTTTGTATTTTTAGTAGAGACGGGGTTTCACTTTGTTAGCCAGGATGGTCTCAATCTCCTGACCTCATGATCTGCCTGCCTTGAATTCCCAAAGTGCTGGGATTACAGGCGTGAGCCACCATGCCCAGCCTTGTTTTTTGTTTTGTTTTGTTTTGTTTTTTTTAAGACGGAGTCTTGCTCTGTCACCTAGGCTGGAGTGCAGTGGCGCCATCTCGGCTCACTGCAAACTCTGCTTCCCGGGTTCACGTCATTCTCCTGCCTCATCCTCCCGAGTAGCCCAGCTAATTTTTTGTATTTCTAGTAGAGATGAGGTTTCACTGTGTTAGCAAGGATGCTCTCGATCTCCTGACCTCATGATCCGCCTGCCTCGGCCTCCCAAAGTGCTGGGATTAGAGGTGTGAACCACCGCGCCTGGCCACAAATTTGTTTTTGAGACAGATCTTGCTCTGTTGCCAGGCTGGAGTGCAGTGGCACAATCTTGGCTCCCTGCAATTTCCACCTGCCGGGTTCAAGTGATCTCCAGCTAATTTGTATATTTTTAGTAGAGGCGGGGTTTCACCATGTTGGCCAGGCTGGTCTTGAACTCCTCACCTCAAGTGATCTGCCTGCCTCGGGCTCCCAAAGTGCTAGGATTACAGGTGTGAGCCACCACACCCAGCCTATGGTTATTTGTTATAACAAGCCAAACCGATTTAGACAATGGTCAAATACTTTTTGACAAGGGTGCCAAGGGTGCCGAGACCATTCAATAGAGAAAGTATCCTCTTTCAACAAATAAGTGCCAGAAAACTGAATATCCACATTAAAAATATAAAAACTCAAAATGCATCAAAGGGCTAAACTTAAGAGTTAAAACTATACAAATTATAGGAAAAAGCAAGAAAATATTCATGCCACTGGATTTTGGCAATGATTCCTTATATATAAGACAAAAGCACAGGCCAAAAAAAGGAAAAAAACACAAAGATGACTTCTCAAAATTAGAAACTATGTATATCAAAGGGCACTTAAGAAAGTAAGAAGAATATCCACAGAAAGGGACAAAATATTGGCAAATCATATACAGGACATCCTGATTTTGTTTCCCTTTATTGCATTTAGCAGATATTGTGTTTTTTACAAACTGAAGGTTGTGACAACCTTGTGTTGAGCAAGACTACTGGCACCATTTTTCCAACAGCATGCACTTGCTTCATGTTTCTGTGTCACATTTTGGTTATACTTGCAAAATCAATCAATCAATCAAACAATCAACATTGTGTATGCTCTGACTGCTCTATTGACAAGCCATTCCCCGGTCTCTCTCTCTCTCCTCAGACCTTCCTATTCCCTGAGGCATTGACAATATTGAAATTAGGTCAACTAACAACTCTACAGTGGCCTCTAGGTGTCCAAGTGAAAGGAAGACTTGCATGTCTCTCATTTCACATACAACCTAGAAATGATTAAGTTTTGTGAAAAAGACATGTCGAAAGTCAAGCTAGGGCAAAAGTTGTGCTAGCTGGCCAAGTTGTGAATTAAAAGGAAAAATTCCTGAGGGAAATTAAAAGTATTAATCAAGTGAACACATAAATGATAAAAAAGCAAAACAGCTTTATTGCTGACATGGAGAAAGTTTGAGTACTCCGGATAGAAGATCAAACCAGCCACAACATTTCCTTAAGCCAAAGCCTAATCTAGACCAAGTCCCTCCCTCCTTCAATTCTGTGAAGCTGAGGGAGGAGAGGAAGCTACAGAAGAAAAGTTGAAAGCTAGCAGAGGTTGGTTCATGACATTTAAGGAAAGACGAAGCGCAAACTTTTATTTTAGGAATAGCAAGTGCTGATGCAGAAGCTGCAGCAGTTATCCAGATCTAGCTAAGATCATTGATGAAGGCTGGCTATGCTCAATAACAAAAAAATTTTTTTTTTTTTGAGACAGAGTCTCTCACTCTGTCGCCCAGGCTGGAGTGCAGTGGCATGATCTCGGCTCACTGCAAGCTCTGCCTCCCGGGTTCATGCCATCCTCCTGCCTCAGCTTCCCAAGTAACTGGGGCTACAGGCACCTGCACCATACCTGAC